CCCACCTTTTGTTTTCTTTCTAGAAATCTTTTAAGAACTCATTCCTGAGGTCTAAATACAAAACGGTTTGCAGTTATTTACTCAAATCCTTTTCAGTGAATTTACACATAATTCTAGCTTAAGGGAAGACTACAGTAAATTGTGTGTTTTGAAAATCATTTTTCTAGAATAAACTAGAAGGTCTGAAAAAGCATTCTATTTTTAAGTATCTTGTTTACTTTTTTATCTCAATCTGCATCTCCTCGGCCTTAAAGAAGGAGAAAGAGGGCAAAACTGGAGAAAAAGTAAAGCTTAATAATGGGGAAACAGTATATTTTCCTTCAATTAATGATTAATTCCTCAGCTGGTGGGCCAGCCAGTCTGGTCCTGGACACCAACTACAGCCATGTGCCTGCACTACAGCTGCTCTCGAGGGAGGAAAAGTTGGTGGCGCTAGGGTAGATATCACCTTCCAAAAATCCAGCCATCTCAGGTGGCAGGATGGAGCTGATGGTTTCCTGACCAGCAGGGAAATCTGCTCAGGGCCTGCCCAGCAAATGCTGTCTGCGACTTCTTTGCGAACAGCAGTGGAGTCCCTAACTATCCTCCGATATTAAGTCTGGAAGTGATTTCATCCCCGAGCCCCCACAGTTCGAACCTTTTGATGTACTTTGGGTGCATGTGTTTCTGTCACATACGTGCCACAGTGGAACAGATTTTGTTTTGACACTATTTTGGTTCATGATGTTATACTTTGACTATTTTACAATAATAGCCAATGTAAACAAACATCTTTGGGATTCTCAAATTATTACTTGTGATTCTTGGACATTGCAGCTCTGAGATACTGACGCATTCCTAGCTTTTTCCAAGGACACCGTATGTTAACATCCGTGCCAGCCTCATTATCCCTCCAGCCGGGCTCCGGGCTGCTTCCTAATGAGCGTTGTGCGGGATTACTTTACACACTCGTAAAGTTGATTAAGAAACTGCCTTCTCCAAGGCTCATCTGTGTACCCTGATGCAGTAAAGCTGCTAAATATGGTTAAAGTTTTCTGGTGTTTCTTCCTCTATCGGCCATGTCAGAGTCCAGTCAGCCTGGATGAGTGGAATTCGATTCGACTGGCAGGCCAACCAGTTCTATATTAATTTAAAGGTCAACTTAAGGGGACTATGAGGCTAAGTTCATGATTTTTCTTTTTTAAAGGCCTGAGTTCCTAGTACGTTCTGTCTCAGCAAGCCCAATACGACATTACCTTTAAAATTGTTTTAATCGGGAAAACGGTGTTGGAGCATTTTCGAGGTGGGTTACAAAAAAAAAAAATATCTGTCCATTGGCTTCTCCGTGGGCTTGAATTTGAGGCCTCTAAAGCTGCAGATGGGCCCTGGATCTGCTAGATCCGTAGGTGGTGGAAAGGTGTGAATGGTTTCCGGTGGGGGGGGGGGGGTGGAGATGCATTCTCCCCCACACCCTCTCTACTTAAAGTCACACGCCGGCCCGAGAAGGTCGCCTAACCTGGTTCCAGGGCTTCACTCCCTCGGTCTCCACCCTGGGCCCGGCCGCCGGCTCCCAGCGCGACTGGCCCCTCGCGGTAATGAGAAGCAGCTCCGGGCTGGGCGCGCCAAGCTGGCCGGACAGCCTTTGCAATTCCACCCCCCACCCCCCGCCCCGCGTGATGCAACTGGGGGCGGGAGGAGCCTGGGGGAGCGCACCTGCAGCCGCCGCGCGTCTTAAGTTTCCAGCGATTTGGGGCAAGGAAGGAGGACCGAGAAGAAAAGAAAAGGGGGGCTGGTTGGGAGAGAAGAAAACAAAAACAAAAAAACACACACACACGAAAAGCCAGGAGAGGGAGAAGAAAGAAATCTTCCTTGTTCAGAGGAGGCGTCATGTGGCTTAGAGGTTGCCAAAGCAAAAGGTTTTGCTTTATTTTATTTGTTTTTGCAACCGAGGCGCTCAGGGTGGGGCCGGCGCGAGGGGAGGGCGGATGGGGAGAAAGTGTCTCAGTGGAGGGTGAGAGTGATTTATTCTTTGGGATCCTCGCGAGGAAGGCTTTGATGCTGGACTCCCTCAAAATACCTTTGCAGTGCCCCCTCCCTCCCGCTCCCCCATACTGCCCCTCCTGGGAACCTTGGGAGGTTGCCCTAAACGGCCTCCTCCCCTCGCCCTCTGGGAGGCTGGAGTTTGGGCAGCCGGGTCTCGCGGCTCCCAGCCTCTGCGCGCCGCCGACCCGCGTCTGCGCCCTCATTACCACTACAAAGCCGGGCAGACGTCGCCTCTTTCCAGAGCTGCGCTTTCAGCTGCGAACATCAAGAGGCCAGAAAAGTTCCAAGTGGGCCTGAGGACGCAGACGCCGCCTCGGTCCTGGCTTTATCTCTAGGGAAAGTTCCATTTTAAGAACCAGATGCCAACATTCCCGGACAGTTTATGGTATCCGGATCCCTCGAGGTGCGCATCCGCGGCTTAGAGTGTTAGCAGCAATTATTTATCGTCTGCCCTGGAGAAGAGGTCCTGAATACGGCTGTCCTCGGCGGACCCTGGGGGTGGGGGTGGGGGTGGGGTGGGGACACACGACGGTTCCCGATCCGGTTATCTGGTTAGCAGAGTTTGTTGTGGTTTTCGAGGAAACAGCATCTGGGTTACATAAGGATTCAAGTTTTTGCTTTGCTTGTTTATTTAATACCTTGGCAAGAGGGAACCCTTCCTCTGAAACCAGATAACCGAATTTGGGTTTAAAACAGCCTTAGATGAGGGGCAACGAGAGGGGAAGAAAATGAACCAAACCACAAAAAGCAAACAAGGGGATGTTTATTTTTCTCCCTTTGGGTAGTTTTGAAGACCTGCCTAACCTCTTCTCGTCGCTCACAGCTAATAAATTGCATTAACAAAGCGCTTCAGCTACTACCGTGGCTTAGCGGGCATCCCTCCCCCGCGCCGCCCCCACCCCGGCCCTAATTCCTTCTAGGATTCGCGCGCGGTCCTGTTTGCCCAGAGATCTCAAGAGCACCAGGAAAAACGGCGTGCTAAATCCAATTGCCTTCAACTGTCTGATCTCCTTGTAGGGAGATCACCTTTCAGCCCCGTTCAAAGAAAGCAAAGTTTGGAAAGTTTGGCGGAGGGGCCGATTTAACTACCAGCACGGCAAATATTTAGTTACAAACGCTGTGAAGTGCCCCGATTTGTGGCCGCGTTTGGCTTTCACAAAGGATTTTCCTGTGACTTTTGTTCCGGTCACCAAATTAAAAAAGAAAATTAACTTGAGCGAGAGATAAGAGCTTGGAAAACAACCCCCGGCCGCCCGCGAGCTGGCGGGCGCGGGGCTGGCGTCGCCGAGTCTGCGCCGCCCAGAGGCGTGCGTTGCGGGGGTCCGGCCCCCGCGGGGAGCCCGGGTCACCGCTCGGACCCCGGGCCGCCGCCCACCGTGCGCCCCCCTCTCGGCACGCAGCGCCCGGGTCGCCGGGCTGCCCGCCGGCGTCCGTGGGAAACCGCGGTAACCCTCTCCAGCCAGCGACAAGGGCGGGCTTGTCCGGAATCAGGCTGCATCTTAATATTATAATACGCCCCCCAAAGCAAAACCCGAGGCCCCGCTTGCGAGTCTCTAACAAGAAACACATTGTGCGCCTTTTCTTTTTTTTCCGCCTTTTTGGCCGAAGCCACATTGGCGCGCTGGCCACGGTACTGTGAGCCAAGTCAATGACTTCAGAGGGGAGGAACCCGCCTGCCCCGCACCACGTGCGCGCCCGGCCCGGATGGCCACCCCGCCGCGCCCTGCCGCCCTGTCCCGCCGACAGGTCAGGGGCTCCGGCCGGGGCCGGGGACCGCTCGGCGGACACACGTCCTGCGCCCGCGGCGCTCTGGCCCCTGCCTTTTCCCGACCCGGGGAGGTACCCAGGAGGCGCCAGTGCGGGTAACTGATCGCTGGCCGCTCCAGTCGGCTCGTGGAGGCGCTTTATTTTAAAAAACTTTGACAGCTTTCTATGTCCCCCACCCCCAAGTCCTTGGGGCTTTTACTCCCAGGTTTTACCATCCCTATTCCCTAAAAAGACAATTTACAGTATACCTTCTCTCAGCTGGAAATAGCCCGAGGGTTCTGCAAGCCCTCTGACCCCTGTCCCATGTCACTGCTGTCCCTGTCCAGAGGAGGTGACAGGATCTGGGGCTGCATTTTCAGGGAGGTGAGTGCTGGGGACCTGTGGGGGCGCCCCGGGAGGAGCAGTCCTGGGCACCCACCCTCAGCCTGATGGTGATCACGCTGTCTTCCCAGCGCTGCTGATGTCAGGACCCTCATCTGTTTCTATGCCAATGCAGCCCATCAACCAGACTCTTTCTGCCGGTTGAATTAAGTGGTCCATTTCGTCTTAACCACTTCTGCCTTTCCTGGAGTCTTTTCAAAGAGCACAGATACATTACATTTCAAAGCAAAAAGGGAACCGTGATGACCCTTTCTATTTTAAAATTTTTATTGGAGTACAGTTGATTGATGGGGCTTCCCAGGTGGCTCAGTGGTAAAGAATCTGCCTGCCAATGCAGGAGAGGCAGGCAGGAGACCTGGTTAGATAGCTGGGGGGCAAGATCTGGAAAAGGAAATGGCAATCCACTCCAGTATTCTTGCCTGGAGAATCCCATGGACAGAGGAGCCTGGTGGGCTACAGTCCATGAGGTTGCAAGGGTCCGACACCATTTAGCAAGTGAGCACGTGCACACACACATAGGCACACAATTGATTTACAATGCTGTGTGAGTTTCAAGTGTATAGCAAAGTGAATCAGTTACACATATGTATGTATCCACTCTTTAAGATTCTTTTCCGTATAAGCTATTACCCGGTATTGAGTAGAGTTCCCTGTGCTATACAGTAGGTTTCTTTTTTTAAAGTCTTTATTTTCATTTTCTTCTGTTGTGTGTGTGTGTGTGTGTGCGCGCGCACGCACGTGTGTGTGTGAGTCACTTAGTCCTGTATGCTCTTTGCAACCCCACTGACTGTAGCCCACCAGGCTTCTCTGTCCATGGGGATTCTCCAGGCAAGAATACTGGAGTGGGTTGCCATTTCTTTCTCCTACAGTAGGTTAGTGTGTACCTGTCAGTCCCAATCTCTCAGTTTTATCTCCCTAACCTCCTTATCCCCTGGTAACCATGAGCTTGTTTTCCAGTGATGGCCCTCTCTAAGGGGAGGTTAATCGTTCACACTGGGTAAGAACAATCATTTACAAGCTCATCACAGCTTGCCTGTTTAGCTCTTCACTTTGCCCCCATGAGTTAGGAGAGGCAGATGCTGCCTCCATTTTACAGAAGGAGAAGCTGAGGCATAGAAGAACAACAGACGCCTCTGTGAGCCCACACTCCCTAGAACGGTACCTGTGATGATCCAGAGGTGTGTGACCTTGACCTCAGGTGGGATGTCAATTACTTTTTCAACCTTGAAATTTGTTCCAGTCCTGCAGGGAATTTATAAAACACTTTGCTTTCCCCTTCCTTAGGTATTAACACCAAGGGACTGAGCCTGACTCTCTATTGACAGAAGTTCAACTCAGGTCTGAGGACTTCACTTCTTAGTGCAGGTAACCTTTACAGAGTCCTGGGGCCCACATCTCTAGAAATTCTGCTTAATTGGGTTTGGTGGGTGGCCCAGGAAATGCTGAGGAGACATGGATGTAGGTGGTGCAGGTTCCACCCTGATGAAATGACAGGTGATCTGTGAGATCAGTCCTGCAGCAGCTGCAGTTCGCCTGTTCCTCTTGAGGACCCACCCGTACATTTGTTTTTTGGAAAGCCGAAGAAGATAAGGAAGACAAGGGGTATGTTGCATTACCCCCATCTTTACTTTCTGCCTTATTCGGTCTTCCTTCCTGATGTTCCAATATTCTTTCTTTTGAAGGAAATTTTAAAAAGTTTTTTTTTTTAATTTATTTGTTGGCTGTGCTGGGTCTTCATTGCAGCACGTGGACTTTCTTTAGCAGCTGCAAGCGGGGGCTTCTCTCCAGTTTCGGTGCACGGGCTTCTCATTGCAGTGGCTTTTCTGCAGGAGGGCATGCGCTCTAGGGGCATGCGCTTCAGTAGTTGTGGCACCTGGGCTCAGCTGTTCCAAGGCGTGTGGAATCTTCCTGGACCAGGGATCAAACCTGTGCCCCTCATGTTGGCAGATGGACTCTGAACCATTGGACCACTAAGGACGTCCTTTTTAAAATATTCACTTATTTGGCTGCACCAGGTCTTAGTCGTGGCACGTGGGATCTAATTCCCTGACCAGGGATCAAACCTAGGTCCCCTCTGTTGGGAGCACGGAGTCTTAGCCCCTGGAACATCAAGGAAGTCCCTCCAGTATGCTTTCTTTTATTATTTCCTTTCTTGTTTAAGGGCATCCTTTAGACATTGTTTAAGGGTAAGGTCTGCCGGTGACAAGCTCTCTCAGTTTCCCTGCGTCTGAGAAGGTTTTATTATCTTCTTGATTCCTGATAGATGTTTTTGCTGGATCTAGACTTCTGGTTTAGAATTCTTTCCACATTTGACATGCTATGCCACTTTACTCTAGCCTCTATGGTTTCTGATGAGAAATCTGCTGTTTCTCAAATTGTTTTTTCCTTTGTAAATAAGATGCTTTTTCTCCCTGTTCTTTGTATCTTCCGTTTTCAGAAACGTGTCCGTGATGTATCTTGACAAGGATTTCTTTGTTTTTACATTTTGAAAGTGTCTCAGCTTCTTGACTCTGTAGGTTTAAGTCTTTTGCCAAATTAGAAAAATTTTCAGCCATTATTTCTTAACATACTTTGTCAGCCCCTCCCTCTTTCTCCTCTCCTTCTGGGGCTCTGATGACAAGAATATTAGATCTTTTCTTATAGTCCCACAGGTTTGTGAGGCTGTCCTTTTGTGTGTGTGTGTCTGTGTGTGTGTGTTTTTCTCTGTGTGTATTGACAGTAACTGGGAAATCTACCCTTGGGTGGTGTTCTACTTTTTCTGATGGTCAAACTGGATTATTTCTATTTTTATATCATCAAGTTTTCTACTTTGGCCACCTGATGTGAAGAACTGACTTACTGGAAAAGACCCTGATGCTGGGAAAGATTGAAGGTGGGAGGAGAAGGAAAGATTGAAGGTGGGACGACAGAGGATGAGATGGTTGGATGGCATCACCGACTTGATGGACATGAGTTTGAGCAAGCTCCGGGAGTTGGTGATGAACAGGGAAGCCTGCTGTGCTGCAGTCCATGGGGTCGCAGAGTCGGAAATGACTGAGGGACTGAACTGACCTGATGTTCAAGTTCACTGATTCTTTTCACTGCCCTCTCCATTTTGCTTTTTGAATACATCCAGTGAGTGTTTTGCTTTGGCTATTGTACTTTTCATTTTGAAATTTTCCATTTGGTTCTTGTTTGTATCTTTTATTTCTTTACTGAGATTTTCTATTTTTTTCCATTTTTTGGAGAGTATTCAGAGTTGCTCCTTGAAAGACATTTTTTTTTTTTTTGTGGCTGCTATAAAATTCTTAATAGTTAATTCCAACATCATGTCAACTCAGTGTTGGCAACTGTATTCTTTTCCCATTCAAGTTGAGCTTTTCCTGTTTCTTAGAAAGAAGAGGGATGTTTGTTTGAAACCTGGACTTTTTGGGTGTTATGAGACTCTGGATCTTATTTACATCTTCTGTGAGAGCAAGTCTCTGCCCCCACCACCCTGGCTGCGGGTGGGGCCGGGGTGGTGGTGGGTGAGGGCAGACATGCCTTGGCTTCACCCTTCAGGGTGGAGGGTGAAGACCTATTGCCTCCGGAAGGGTGTGAATGCCCCAGCTCCCCACCCAACCCCCGCTGAGACTACCTGTGGGGAAGGGGAGCAGGGCCTGGTTACTGTTGGGTGGGGGTGAGAGTCCAGGCTCCCATGTGATCTCTGTTGACATTCTTGAGGGGGCTCCTTGCTGAGGAGCGCCGCTGCTCCCCACCCCACCATCTGTATCACCACCCTGTCGTGGAGGGAGGCTGAGATGCAGGCTCTCTGCTTGGCCTTTGTGACGGAGGTGGAGTTGGTGCCTCGGCTGTATCTGTGGTGCTTCTTTCTAGTCACATAATTATTGTTTGGAAGTTTGCTGTCTTACCAGGCTGCCTCGTTCCTTGTCCGCTGCTTGAAAGTACAGGCTTTTCTCTTTCTTTTTCCGTGTCCACTGATGCTTCTGGGTACCTACTTCCCCAGCCCCCGGTCCAGGATATAAGAAGCATGAAGAAAACCCAGGGAAAACATCGCCATGTCCTTCCTTGGGCCCCAGAGTAGGCAGCTAGTCTGCCCTTCTCTCTGCCTCTCAGAGTCTCCCGATGTCTGTTTTCTCGCTGATCTCCAGGCAGGAGGCTCTCCTTGGCAGGAGGAATGAGGAGAAGCACATCTACTCCATCTTGCCTGAAATAGAAGTACCAAATGTTTATCATTTAATGAAATAGAAAACATGAAGCAATGGTCTCTGTTTGAAGAAAACTATTCACATTTCTTTATCGTTTGAATTTGCAAGTACTTTCCCAGGTACATTATTTCATCAAGTCCTGGATTTAAAAAAAAAAATAAAAAATATGATTTAACTGTTGCTTTCATCAAGCCCAATCGGGCCCTGACAGTAGGTGTGTGGAGGCATCTTTGAGTCTGATCGTTGTCGAGTCCCCAGTCTAAATGAGTATTGTCCTTGCCCTTGGCTGGAAGAATTGCTTAGAATTCTTTTCAGTGGAGTCTGATTCATTCCACTAGCCCCGTCTGGGTCCTGGCTAGCTGGGCAAGCTGGAGGGAGCTTTCCCCTCCATGGCAGGGGTCTGCTCATGTTGCTAGTGCTGCTGGCGCTCCGGCTCTATCATTCTCCTTGGCCCCAGTGGCATGTCTGCTGGGCACTTAGCTCAGAGGGGCCTCGTGCCTGGGGCTTAGTGCTCTGCAGGTGTTATCTTGAGAGTCTTAACAATTCTCTCTTTCAGTTGTGTTTTCTGAGTGATCTTTGATGGGAAAATAGAGTATGTACTGCGGGTTGGTGCCTGGGCTCTATGGGGGTCCTATCTTCCTACGTCCCTGGGTTCTTGCCACTTGTTCCTGCTTCTTGCTGATCCACCACTGCGCCTCTGACCCCCAGAACCCAGGACTGGGGGCAGGAAGGGTCAGAGTGAGTGAGTGTGGCCTGCATGCTGAGTTGCATACCAGGGCCCTGGGCACCTGAGTCTTTATTTGCCTAAGTATCCTTGTGACCAAGAAAATGCCATTAAATCACAAATGGACCTTGATGACAAGTAGAGAGAGATGTGGAAGAAAAGAAGAATTCTTTTTCTGCTGTTTGAATGAGGTGGGTGGGCTGCACTTTCACTTTGCAGTGGTCCCTGAAATTGATTTAGCTTGTCCTTCATCGGTAGCTTTTGAGGTCGCTACTCTCCAAAGATGCCCCTTACTGAACTGTGCTTCCAACGGCTCACTGTGGGTGTCATCCTTCCCAGACTGGACCTTGGGAGGCCCTGTGCACCCAAGAGAATGCAGTGGGTGTGGTCCTGTGTGATTTCCCAGGAAATCATCAAAGACGCCTTCTAGTTTCCATTTTGCTTTCTTGGCTCTTCTCTTACAGTCTCCATGGAAGAAATCTGGGCCTCTTGGACTCCACCATGCTTTGGGGAATCCAGGCTCCCTTCTTGGAGAGGCCACACAGAAAGAGCTAACAGAGGCAGGGGCCAGTCCTGATCCCCACATCATCCCAGTTAAGCATCCCACTGTGAGTTAAGGAGACACCTTGGATGTCCAACCTAGAAGAGCCTGAAGGTGACCTCACCCCAGCCACTGACAGACCACATTCAGCTGAGAATCCAAGCCATGAGATTATGAGAGAAGGAACTATCGTCTGGAACCACTATGCTTTGGAGCAGTTTGTTACACTGATGACTAAATTGCCACCAGAAGAGAAACTAGAGATGCGGGGGGCGGGGTTGGTGGTGAATCAGGGTTTCTAAGTATAATCTTGCACATGCATTGTAGCTGTAATCATTGATAACTTATTTTGGCTTTTCCCCCCTGAAAGTTTTACAATAGATGATTTACAATGCACAAAATAAGTGTATCTCCATGTTTAACAAAAACACCTTACTTTTTAAAAGTGTCTGATGTTTTATTTGACATCGTGGAGCATGTATTCAGGTATATAGTGTGAGTCTGGCTTCCCCAGTGTCTCAGTGGTAAAGAATCCACTTCCCAATACAAGAGCTACAGCAGGTATGAGTTTGACATCTGTGTTGGGAAAAACCCTGGAGGTGGAAATGGCAACCCACTCCAGTACTCTTGCCTGGGAAATCCCATGGACAGAGGAGCCTGGCAGGCTACAGTCCATGGGGTTGGAAAGAGTTGGATATGGCTGAGCGTGCATACACATAATGTGGGCTCATTTTTAACCAATCAGAATCCCTGCTAACTTTCCCCTAATGTATAGTTTATCACCATAATGGGTGACTATATTTTTTGAACCCAAACCAAGTAGGATAAATGGCCTGACTAACTCCAGGGCCCTGGAGAAGACAGGAAAGCTGGGTGGGAGAGGAAGGTGACCATCTGTGGACACCCCTCCCAGCCTCTCTGACATGTGAGTAAGAGCATCTGGGGCCTCCAGACATTCTAGAAACTGTATCATAGAAACATCTCATCACTTCTGAGCATCAAGATCTTATGGTGATTTTGGTGTTTTTCTTTACATGTTATGGATTTAAGTGTGGAGCCATCAGGCTTCCTAGTTGGGCCCAGGTTCTTCATCCCATTGTCTCACTGATTTGACTTCCAGGGACCCCTGGGAACACTGTTTTCCCCCTGAAAGACCCTGTTGGCATGAGGACTCTAAGGCTGAGTACTGAGAAAGGGGCTGGAGCTGCCAGAAAGCTGCCATCTGTCTTCCTGAGATGCCATCTCAGGGTGGTCATTTCTGGTCCTGAGACTGGAGTCAGGAGGGGGCTGGTGCAGCTACAGTTTGTGAAGTCCTGTCCAGAAGCCCTGAGCCCTGCTTTCCTAGAGATCTCGGCCTAATTTCCAAAAACCCTATAAGACCCTCTGTGTGGGACCAGCTCGCTCTCCATCTCATCTGGCGGGAAACTGCCCTGTCACCTGTCCTGTCAACACAGCCAGCAGGGGGGAGCCAGAATCTGGGCCTGTCCTGTCTGATGTCAAAGTCTCCTCTCTGCCCTGAGTTATTTAATAAGACTTTCTCAAAGTGTATTAAATCCGTTTAACTATCATTGCAAGAAATGCTTGTTTGAAAAAAAGAGAAAGAAGCACTGACAATGGATATTTTACAAGCATTTGAAACATAACATTTTGAAATAAAATATTCCTAACCATCCTCACCATGTCTTAGGGTCCCAGTGAGCTGATGGTTGCTGGTAGGCACAAAAGCCCACGCACCGTCGGTGGGGCTGGAAGAAATGATGCTGAGACTGGAGCATCCCTGAGCGCAGGTAGTCCTCAGAGCAGCCTCCGCATGGGGAGCCCCCAGCACTGCCGCCCATGGTGTGTGATGTGGGGAGAGCACAGGCCCTTCTGACTCTGAGAATCCGGAGCACCTTGCTCTGGATGGCATTTTGAACATGCTCTGCCACCCGCTACTCCTTTTACCTTCAGTCTTCCCCAGCATCAGGGTCTTTTCCAGTGAATTGGCTCTTTGCATCAGATGGCCAAGGCATTGGAGCTTCAGTGTGCGTCACATACGATACCTGGAAGAATGTAAGTGTTCAGTTAACACAGCTAGCAGACAAAATGCAGCCCATCTCCCTGGATTCACGTTTCAGGTGAACGGTGAATACTTTTGTAAGTGTGAGTAAGTCCCTGTAATTCACCTGTAAGTCTAGTCTAAGCCTTCTCAGTAAATATCACTATCACAACAGCAAGTGCTCCTTATGACAGAACTAAGACATCCGTAAAGAAATAGAAACTGGCCTTACATTTACTAAACTCTGACAAGTTAAGATAACTGGGAGAGAAGATGTCTTTCACTAGCAGAATTCAGAGTAAAAGAGTTCTAATTTGGAGTCCTTGGGGACCAGAATGGCCAGATGTGAGCCTCAGAGGATTTATTTAAAAAGGCGCAATTTCAAAGACAGACAGGTTCACGGGCCCTGCCCGTCTCTCTGCACAGGCCAGCTCGTTGTTTCCATTACAAATTGATTTCCAGGGAAATACCCCTGGAGGCCTGTCTCCCATGTGAGATAGGAGTTGAGATTCCAGCAACCCCCCAGGTCATGTCTGCTGATCCAGGCCCAGCTCACGCACAGCTTGGAGTCTGTTTCTCGCTCCAAGTCCGGAGTGGGTGTCAGGGATGGGGAGGCACCTCTCAGGCACTTGGTCTCTGCTTGATTCAGTGGCTCAGCCTTACTCACCCTGCACTTCCAAGGCGTCTGGGCTCATCTGCACAGAGCCAGAAGCGGGGAGAACTTGGAGAGCCCCGTGGGGAAGCACTTGGCTGGGATTTATGGATGAGGCCTGGACTTGGCTCAGAACACTGAACGTATCCCCTGGGCTGGAACGCGATCTTTCAACGTCAGCACTGCTGACACTTGGGGTGACGGTTCTTTGCTGTGGGGGGCTGTCCTGAATAGGATGTGCCCTGGCCTCTCCCCACTAGTTGTTGTTCAGTTGCTTAGTCTTGTCCAACTCTTTGTGACCCCGTGGTCTGTCGCCCACCAGGCTTCCCTGTTCTTCACCACCTCCCAGGGTTTGCCCAAACTCATGTCCATTGAGTCTGTGTTGCTATCTAACCATCTTATCGTCTGCCACCCACTATTCCTTTCACCTTCAATCTTCCCCAGCATCAGGGTCTTTTCCGATGAATTGGCTCTTTGCATCAGGTGGCCAAAGTATTGGAGTTTCAGCTTCAGCATCAGTCCTTCCAATGAATGTTCAGGGTTGATTTCCTTTAGGATGGACTAGTTGGATCTCCTTGCAGTCCAAAGGACTCTCAAGAGTCTTCTCCAGCATCACCTCCCACTATTTCCTCATAGAAAACCCTCTCTCTGCCAGTGGTGACAGCCAAAGATGTCTCCAGACGTTGCTAGATGTCTCCTGGGGGGGAGGGTGGTGGAGCAAAGTCACCCTGGCTGAGAATCACTGTCTCGTGGCCCCACCTGACTGCAGGGAGGCTGGGAAAGAGCCCAGATGTCTGATCGGGAAGAAAAGAAAGCTCATTTAGATCTTGCCGGCCAGTCTCTCTTTCTCAATGACCTTGGGTGGTTCTTCTGGTGCTGTGGGGACACTGGAGGGGTCCAGTGCAGAGCCACTTCTATGGGTGGGGGGGTAGGTAGCAGAGCCTGAGGGACGGGACAGGAGCTGCACAGGACTGGGGCGGGGGCGGGGGGGCATCTGGAAACCAGCTGCCATTGTGGTCAACAGCCCTGAGTGTTTATTTGTGAGCAGATGAAGAGGAAATGACCACATGAAGAGGAATATCCCCGTCATTCTCAAACACTTACTTTAAAGATGTGACTGAGTTCCCAGGCTGCCCTGGGGTGGGAATGGAGGTGACCGGCTGCCATGTCACAGGGAGGGGGCTTGATGTCCTTGTCTTAACTTGAGGACCCTTGAATCATGCAGAAAGCAGAACAGATTGGGGTTCCCAGAGGTAAAAATCTGGGATTTGCGGTCTTCCTGGGAAGGGGCTGTCATCTAGAAGCCCGGTGAAAGGGTTATTCCACTGCCCGCATGGCGTGCTGTGTGTGCACGTGATTATGCCTGGAAGAGGAAACATGTAGGAAGTTGTTTTCATAGCTTCTTTTTATTAGCGTTTATATGAGTTAATGAGCATGCAAACAGATCTGGCAAAAATGTTGGTAGTAAAACAACCAATATGGTCTTAAAGAGGGAAGTCACCAGCTTGTGAGTAATCAGATCTTACCTTAGCTGGAAAAGAAGACAGGTTTTCCAAGCTCAGATATGCAGCCACTGTGAGTTGTGATATAGTAAAATAGAGCTCAAAGACAGGTTCTCTCCTACCCACCCACCACCCACCCATCCATCCATACACCCACCCATCCACCCACCCACCCATTCACTTACCCATTCACCCACCCATCTACCCAATCATTCATCCACCCATCCATCCACCCACCCATTCACCCCCCACCCACACATCCATCCATCCACCCATCCATTCACCCATCCATCCACTCACTCATCCATCCATCCACCCATCCATCCACCCACCCATATCCATCCATCCACCCACCTACCCATCCATTCACTCACTCATTCACCCATCCATCCACTCACCCACCCATCCATCCATTCACCCATCCACCCACCCATCTATACCATAGATCCATCCAGTATTTACTGAATACCTACTGTGTATCAGGCACTTCTCCAAGAACTTGAGTATCATCAGTGAACAAAATTGATAACCATCCTGACCACCAGAATGTTACATCCTATTGGGGAGAGAAAAAGAAACAAAATTGTTGAGTAAATCATAGAGGTTATGATGATGAAGATTAGCAATTAAGCAGGGGTGGGAATGTGCAGTGCCAGTAGCAAGGTACAAAAGTGACCATTTCAAATAGGGTGGTCCTGGTAGGCTGCATGGAGAAGGTGACATTTGAACAGAGTCTTGAAGAAAGCGGTCTCCCCGGTCACATTGCTGGAACTTGAGTACAGTAACAGAGGAGAGGGCTGGGCACTCGTTAGCCTGTACCTGATCTCAACAACAACCCAACAGAAGCAGCTACAGATTTAGGGGCTCTGCTTTAGTGTGAGTCAGAAGCTGAGACTCAGAGAGGTTAAGTAACAAGTCTAAGGTCACAGAGACACTGAGTGTCAGGGCTCAGGAGTAAAGTCCGGGATGATAGATAACACTTCCTGTGTATTTTTCAGTCAAGTATGGGGAAAACAGGAAGTTATCCTCAAGTGGAAGAGAGTAACAAAGCCCATAGGCCACATTTCCACATCTGCTCAGAAACTGAGGGTCGTCTAGGCGCTGGTGGGACTCGGCTGTTTTGTTCTTGAAAGCAGAGCCAGAGAAAAGCCAGCTTGAATGATTTGGAAGCTTCTGGAATCTATGGGTTTGTAGACCCCTGCCCCCACCCCGCCTCTACCTAACCTGAGGGTAGGGAGAAGTTTA